AGGACCGAGACACGCGCCTCCAAGGCCGCCTGCTTGCCCCCCGGGGCCGCCGGAGACGGGGTCCCGCCGCACGGGCCGTGTCAGAGCCCCCGGGCCTGCTGCTAGGATGCTGGAGCCCGGGCAGGGCCGCCCAGCCCCGCAGGTCTGAGCCACGGCTGCTGCTAGCTCCTCACGGCGGAGTTTGACGAGCGCCATGTAGCGGGGAGAGCCTATGTTCACGGGTTTCTTTCTCCCTCAACAGTGTCAAGGTGGGGCAGGTGCTGGCCTCCCGCCCTGAGCTGCCCCGGCCAGGGAAAACCTGCCCTGGAGGCAAGTGCGTGGGGGTTGTAGTGAGACCTCTGCAGGGGCTGGTGGTCACCCCTTCAAATCATGGGAAATACACTGGCTGCAAGGGTTGCCCGGTGCCAGTACTCTGCTGTTAGGTGAAGGGCACACTCTTGAAACCTTAGCGTGTAACATGAGTTCACCAGATGAATCTAAAGGAAGAAACTCTCGTGAAACAATCCGTTGACAACCCCTCCTAAAAAAAAAAAAAAAAAAAAAAAAGGAAGAGAACCGGGGCCAGAGACTCATATTCACCGCAAATAATCTGTATCAGTTTTATTCCAGGCAAACAGATTTTCATTGCATCTTTTTTTTTAAGTTTGAGCTGAAGACATGACTGGCAAAATATATCATTCCCTCTTGTGATTGTGACACGCTGGAAACCTGGTGCAGTGTCACGGCTCTTGAACTGCCTTTCCAGGCTTCAGATCGTAGCATTCAGCTAGGGACCAAAAACAGGAGCGTGGCGGAGGTATTTGAGCATTTAAATTAAAGTGGGAGTGGTAATATTTTCAGTGTTTGAAGATCTTTTCTCATTAAATACCTGTTTTAAATTATTAACGTGTAGAGAGATTGTTATGAAATCTAAAACAAATAGGAGGTAGTCTAAAAGGAGGAATAATATGATGAGGTAAAATTAAGGATGAATTTCAGGTAAAAAGTTGCATACTTATTAGGTCTTGAGGGAATGCTGTGGACATCTACATTTTAAGATATGTTTAAAATGAGACTGGACAAAACATTGTGTGTGTATGCACGTGTGCTGCACATAGTTTTTGAGGCATAGTTGTGCGCAATTAGGGAATAATATCCTTAAAAAGGGTTTAATGTCTATGATATCGAAAACCAATATAATTAGTTTTAAAGATCTTCCTATTAAAACTGATAGGGAATTTTGCTTAATAATGGATGTAGGTAACCCGATTATATTTTAGCAATACATTTATTTCCACAAAATGATTCTGATCATATGTATAAGAGGAGTACAATTCTGAAAGTCTGAAGTTTTTTTATATGCGCAGAATTATATATAAAACCTTTAAATGCACATATATGGTGATGTAACTTTGCTGTATCTTCAAAAGTGTGGTTAGAAGTAATAATTGGCCAACTGTGCGGATAACAGTGAGTTATCTTTTTTCCTCCTGGATAAAAAATAAAATATTGTGAGAGATCAGACATCATAATTTATGACTATTTTATATATATTGAATATATAAATATATATATTAAATATTTTTATATTTTTTGTGGCTGTGCATGTGCACGCGCGCACAAAAAGTGTATCCAGCATATGCGTTCACACATACACAGTTAATTCGAGTACTTCCATCAAACGTAGTGAGTAATATTTGTGCCATTTATTCATAAGTAGACTCCCTCACTGGTTTTTAAGCAGAACTGCCTATGTTTTCAGTGTCATTGGCTTAAAGAAACTGCTTGTGTGAGTGAGTCAGACCTTTGCAATTGTTGTTTTTCTTAATGTTGAATCAGAGAATGGCTCGTAAAAGGTTCACCTGTTTTTCTCAGCCAGTAAAAAGAAGAGAAATCACACCTACCTATACAAATGATGTTCAAGTTTAGGGCTATATATTTCCCTAGATTTGTGTATGAAGTTCACAGTAACATCGGCAGAAGTTCAGCACAGAGGCTAAGATGTGATTTAGCTCTGCAAAAACAAATACATGCACAATAAAGATTTAAGTTTACCTGGCCTATACTTTTCAGAAGTGGCAATTCAAAGTTAGGTGCCTGGATTTAGATGTAGGCACGTGAATATGTGACCTGATTTTTCAGTGGTCCTAAGCACCCTCAAGTCCTGTTGACTTCAGTGGCTCTGGGGGTGAAGTGGTGGGGTCTCTCCTCTGTCATCCTTTATGACCTGTGATATTTGAGTATAGTGGAGGGAAATAATTCCTAAACTCAAGAATCTGTAGAACTTTTTGGCCTTACTTTTTCTTTTATGTGCAAATGTGTCCCCAGGGCTGTGCTTATACTGGAATTTTCGAGAACAAGTAAAGCATAACAGCAGTTCCAAGAGTTGGTAGCAATGGTTGGAGCACTAGTGTGCATGCACCGTACATACCAATATTAGTACCACTGTATCATCAAACTCTGCCAAAAGCAGGTTTAGGTTACTAGTGGCAAAAACTGCCATTTCCAATTACACTTGTAGAGTTGCACTGCTGCTAGGATCCTGATGGGAAATGCTGGGTCTGATTTTCAAAGATAATGAGTACCCCAAGTCAAGTGGAGATATAGTAAAACTGTCTATGTAGTATGCACATTATGGAGGCACTGGTGCATACTGAACTGAGTTTTACATTTCAGTCAGCTCTTAACCCTTCTTTATAATGTTTAAAGAATACACATACCCTTCTCACACTTAACAGCACTTTCTTTTTCAGTAATACAGTACAAGCGTTTTCTGATAATATGTAAGTAAATCCATTAATTTGTTTATGAATTAAAATTAATATTTATATAACTGCTTTACTACATTTATTCTGTCACACTTTCTTATAATAATCAAAGAGCAAAAATGATTTGGCTACATTAAAGCATGTCAAAAAAGGCTATAAGTTTTCCTAATGCAATTGGAAATAAATCATTGAAAATACCTGGTTTAGGATTATTGGTATTAATGAAATTTTCCTTCAGAGATGCTCACAGACATGTCACTACTTCCCATTGTTTTCAGTAAGATTAACACCACAAGTTATTCCTATAGCAGAGATAGCTACCACCTCCATTCACCAGTTCTGCATAGTTCTCTTTTCTGCTGTGTGACAGTACAGAGGCCATAGCTTTCATAAAGGGACCGTGGCTTCACCTTTTGGGGGAACAATGGAGGCAATGGCCATCTTTACTAAGAGCAGCCTCTGGCTCCAGTCTCACTAAAATGATGAGAGTTTAAAGTGCCAGCTTCTGCTGAAGAAGAAACTTTTCGTTTTGAGGAATAATGAGAAAAATATTCTTAGTCCTAAATATTTATCTTCCCCAAATTTTTACTGGGTCTAGTCAGTAGGGGAGAACAAAGGGATAATTTAGGCTGTGTGCGCAAAAAAGCGTAGTATACAACAGAAAAAGGGAAACTTGATTTCAGGGTGATAACTACATACCTTCAGCTCAGTAGACATATCTATCAATTTTTTCACATAAAATACTTTAAAATAATTTAAACACTAAATCTTCATTTAATTGTTGGCACAACTGAAAATACATATAATTTAAAGTAAACAAATGCCATGCTAATTAATTAGTCCCCAAAGTTAATACTTCCATGAGTTCATAAATTAATTCCCAACAAAACAAGCAATCATAAATCTAAGAAATTCAAAATTAAGAACTTAAACTAAATGTAAACACTTAAAAGTATAGGAGTTCATACCAACATACTCAAGCTTAATTCTTGCATTGATACATTGAGAGAAGTATATATTTGTATCCAGTATATGTAATCAAATGAATATAACCTAATTTATCTTCAAAAGTAATTTGGGATCACAAGCACTAAAATCCTAAATCAGAATTCCCTGATTATTGTCTAGCAACATTCCTACTATCATCTTGTAATGGAAAAGGAGCTTGCAAAGCTAAAAGTGCTAGTGTTTTAATAAACTATACAAAAATTTTTTCAAAGATGAAAGGAAAAAAATTATCATTACTTTAAAATCTGCTAAAACTATATAAGAACTACATATTGTCACTGAAGTATATAGAAGAATACTGTTCTGAAACTTGAAAGCTTCATTTATTTGTAATAGAATTGCTGTGTAGTTCTAATTATGATGATAACCAAATATGGACATCCTTTGAGAGATGCACCACAACAGTAGAATTCAAATCCACAATTTTGTTTTTGAGGGAGGAAGAAAGGAATAAAATATTTTCAAATAATTGGTTGTGATGTCTGAGGAAAGAACAGAACCAGAAATACAATGTAGCTTTATCACCAAGAATTTATTTTGATCATGTTAATCCTTAGAGAAAATAAAGTGGTTCATTTTACATATAACAACAAAGAAATCAAGAAAAAGAGTTGCTGAAATAAAACTGAATGTGAATGTCTAAATAATTACATGTGGAAGCACGTCTCGTTTTGTCACAAAAATTGTTATGCATACCTTGATAAATCAAAGCTTTGATACACACTCACACTACAACTCCAAATTCCTATAAACATATCTGAGATAAGGCATTTTGCCTCTTGTAATTTATTAGAACAGAATTTCACAGACACAGGTGGACTATATGTGCAGTTTCTATTTTACATTAAGGAATGTAAATTTTAGAATATCTGCTTCCTCAGAGAGAATCTAATTCCACTGCAGCAAAATTTTAATTTTACCAATTTATAAAAAATATTTTGAACAGAAGAGATAGTTGGATATATAAACAAAACAGGTACTGATTTTTCTTTGTATACACATTCTTTTGAATTGCAAGCTGCTAGGTAAGGGCAAGATGTACTATTTAGGTATTTCTGAAAGCAGTGCAAACAGCAAATACTGGCATATAAAACACAGAAGATGGTCCAAAGTATTAAAATTTACAAGGATGGGGAGATGCACTTCCTTCACATACCCCACACGGAAGCAATACACAAATTATAACTTCCATTTTCAAAATTGACTAGCAATCTGGGTACTTCTATTTTGGGTGTCCAGCTTGAGACAGCTGAATAAAGCAATTGAGTTTAAGACAGCATTGAACGTCTGCCCTTTAAGAGTCAGGAAGCTTTAGAGATATCTAACAGCAGAAAACAAAAACGCTCAGGTTCACTAGACATGTTTGAAAATTTAGGGCCAACATTTTTTTCTCTGTAGGAATAAGGCCACAAGGGATTTTTCTGCTGAATAATAACTTTATACAGCAAAAACTAGGGTATGAGAGATCCTAAGATAAAGCAGGTTGGCAAAAGACTCTTACTGAAGCATATGCTTTCACTGTAAACCAGATGACAGGATAGAAGAAAAAATATTGCAATATTTATCATTTTCATCCTTGGTTTCTAATATTTTATTTTACATCTATAGTTGAGGTTTCTCTCTCAAATTTTTCTTTCTTCTTAAACAAGTAAAGCAATTGGTTTACAAGGAAACATGTTTGTTCTCAACATACATGCTCCCATGAATAATTAAAGCATAAGAGCAAATGGATCCTGTGGCATGAATTAGCTTTTGGTTCTTTACGTGTACAGAATCTAGCTGGACCTCAGGTGCCTGGTTCATGCCTTGTTGTCCTACATGCTGCAATAATAATATCAATGATCACATAAATCACATAATCATAGAAATCTACAGATTCATTAATTTGTTGAGTATCCCCTTTTCCCCCCAAAAAACAGGCAAGAAGAATTAGATACATATTTGCAATTTGGGAAGCAAAGAAGCCAGTAGGCAGGGACTTTGATATTTAAATCCTTCTATGAGCAATTAGAGGTCTGAGTCTGTGTTGCCTACAATGATACCAAGACAGTTACACCGGTACACATCACATGTAAGATCCTAACTGAATGAATTTCACCACTTGCATATACCTATGGTCATCTCTGACATATTATATATAAGGGATGTGTGACGCTTCGGTCCTTGATTTGATTTAGCAGAGATTTGGCCCAATTTGGTGTCTGAATCTCCAAATCTGAATTGAATCAGGAGATCCTTTAATCTCTCCGAATCGAATCGAAACCTCCAAATCAATTCAGAGGGATTTGGAAAGATTCAATGATTTGGACGTAGACACCGCTTTAAATGTTTTTTTTTCTAGGTAGCTGGTGGCTCAAGAATGCTGTGATGCTGGGGTGGATGGAGTATCCCACAGAAGCGTGGGGGGCTCCCCAGCACACTCGGCAGCAGACCTGGAAGTGGACCAGAAGCACTGCTGGTCCACTTCCGAGTCTGCTGGTGAGCACGCAAGAGGACCCCCCAGTGCCCCCTGGCTCAGTGACTAGTGCCTCCTGGGCCTGGGGGGGTACCTGGGGTCCCCCCGTGGCTGATTGCCGAGCCGGAGGGGCGTGGGGGGGTGGTCCTCCTGCACGCTTCTCGACAGACCTGGAAGTCGACCAGAAGTACTTTCGGCCCACTTCTGGGTTCGCCACCAAGCATGTGGTGGGCCCCCCTGCACTTCTGTGGATCGCTCCATCCCCCCTAGCATTGCAGTGTTCACGTGCCATGCTGGTACCTCAAGGTACGTAGAAAAAACATTTAAAGCTGTGTCTATGTCCGAATCGCTGATTCAGTATTGAATCTTCAGTTTCGGATTCAGCCGAATCAAATCGGGAACAGTGATCTGAATCAACGAATTGAATCACCATCCCCAATTCTTGCCGAATCCGAATCCAAATTGAATAGGGCCCATTTTGCACACCCCTATTATATATGTAATTCTTAACACATACACACAGGCTACTTAGTAATATAATAGCAAATACATACCCCTCCCTATGTATAGATATTTCAATAAATACATGTTGGCAAGAAAATATATATTCACCTGTTTGTTTGGAGACTGGCTTCTGTTTGCTTTGACAAATATTGCTATTATTGTTCTCCTTGCAGGTTAGAAGTCTGGAACAATGGGTGACTGGAGCTTTCTGGGGAGACTATTAGAGAATGCACAGGAGCACTCCACGGTCATTGGCAAAGTTTGGCTGACCGTGCTGTTTATCTTCAGAATCCTGGTGCTGGGAGCTGCTGCTGAGGAGGTCTGGGGAGATGAGCAATCGGACTTTACCTGCAACACTCAGCAACCTGGTTGCGAAAATGTCTGCTATGACAAAGCCTTCCCCATCTCCCATATCCGCTTCTGGGTGCTGCAGATCATCTTTGTGTCCACTCCAACACTTATCTACTTGGGCCACGTGCTCCACATTGTGCGCATGGAGGAGAAGAAGAAACAGAAAGAGGAAGAGCTGAAAAGGAAGGGGAGCTGCAAAGACATCATCCATTTGGGGACAGCAGCTGGAGGCAACAACAACTGTGTCAGCAAAAAGGAGCCACCTCCCAAGAAGAAAGAGAAGCTACCGATCCGCGATGAGCGTGGTAAGATCCGCATTGGGGGTGCCCTGCTCCGCACCTACGTCTTCAACATAATTTTCAAAACTCTTTTTGAAGTGGGCTTCATTGTGGGCCAGTATTTCCTTTATGGCTTTGAGCTGAAGCCTCTCTACCGCTGCAGCCGCTGGCCCTGCCCCAACATCGTGGACTGCTTCATTTCTCGGCCCACCGAGAAGACCATCTTCATCATCTTCATGCTGGTGGTGGCCTGTGTCTCACTGCTGCTCAACATGCTTGAGATCTACCACCTGGGATGGAAGAAGCTCAAGCAGGGCATGACCAACCACTACACCCCTGACACCATAACAGCTGTGGAACCAGTTATAATAGAAGGAGATGCCAAGCTTGCATCCATGCCTCCACCACCACCAGTAGTGATAACAGCCCATGCTGCCCTGCCTGTTCTGCCTGACACTCGAGCTGTCACCCCTCTGCTCACTCCAGCTGCTGTGCCACCTTACTATGCTGAGTCCCCTGTTAAGGCACAACCATCTGCCTCACCTTCTGCAGCCAGCTATCCTGTGGCTCCCCCAGTTGCTGAGGAGCAGCAGAAAACTGCCACCCCCACCCCAGCCTCCTCACCAATCCCAACGCCAACCCCCATCCCAACGCCCACACTGGCTGTCATCAATTACTTGAATGCCAGCAGCCAAGCTTCAGCTGCTGAGCAGAACTGGGCCAACATGGCAGTTGAGGAGCAGAAGAAGCCACCACCTTCCAGCTCAGCAGCTTCCTCTACCCCCAGCAGTGTCCGACAACAGCTTCCAGAGCCAGAGGAGCCAGTTGAGCAGCCACCACTACCACCACCTCCAGAGCTACCTGTGGCAGCAGCCAACAGTGTGGGCAGCAGTACCAGCCTGAGTGGGGGAAGTGGAAGCAAGTGGGATATAGAAGGGGAAGAGGAGCCTTTGGAGGAAAGGCCTGTTTCACCCGCCTCTCCTGCATCACCTGCCTCACCTGTCTTGCCTGCGTCACCCATGTCACCTGCCTGTACCACAGTGGAGATGCCTGATCCAGCGCTGCTCATAGACACACGGCGCTTAAGCAGGGCTAGTAAGTCCAGCAGCAGCAGAGCCAGGTCAGATGACTTGGCTGTGTAGCATGGTTTCCAGTGCTGGGAGAAGCAGATGATAAAAGCAAAGTGTAATGGGGAACCACGTGGTGTGGGAGGGAGACCAGACCCCAGGCCAGGGGATGAGGGAGGCTGGGGTTCCAAACTTTGAAGCTTGCTGTTCTTGCACTCTGTGAGTTGTAGTGGGGATAAATATTGACATTTTCTAGTAGGTCAGGGGTGGCTGAAGCACAGCCCATGGGCCAAGGGACCAAACCCGCACTCATTGATGTCAGTGACAGAACTCTCAGTGCCATCCAGATGGGAGGTCTGCACAGATGACAGGTGTCAGTGGCAGCTGGGCATGCACCCTCATATTGATGCTCTCCCAAGAGAAACATTAGCACATTTTGTGCTCCTGTGCCTGTCATCTTTCATCTTACCCTTGCCTTCACTTCCACTTTCCCCTGTGTGAACTCTGAGGTCCTGCTTTCTTTCCTTTCTCTTAAACCACACTTCCCTGACAATGAGAATGGCACATGGCCTGGTGGCACCTGTCATCTCCGTGGACCAACCTGACAGAGCAGGGTGATTCCATTTAATATGAATTAGGGCAGCCTTTATGTTCATGGCAAATTGCCAATGCAGCCCTTTAGTTAGACAAAGTTTGGGTAACCCCATAGTAGATTTAATTATTCCTGAGCTTCATCTTTCTGTTTTTCCCCCAACTCTTGACCTGTAAGGAAGTGCCTAGTTTACCTTTATCTAGTATTTGCCAACCATGACCACACAATGTTTTTAAGCACATGGATTCTTTTGAATATCTTTAGCTTTATTTTTATTTTGACATTTGAAATTGCTTAGAGAAGGAGAGAAAGTAAACCACACACCTCAGAAAGTGTTGCACACAACAGTTTTACTTCAGAAAATAAGAATTATAGTTTCATCACATTTTGGCCCTGTATGTTGTAGCCTGACAATAGATTAGTATAGAGCTCAGTGTTTTAGACTGATACAAAGTTAGCTTAAGCCAGCTGGAAGGAATGCTTAGTAGAAGTAACATTGAGTGCACATCTTAAAGTATCTGAACATTTCTAGAATAATTTTAATCTGTTTGTTAAAAATTACTTGACAGTGTATTTATACATTTTAGTTTGATCCTTGATCTCATAGGAGAAAGTAATGGGAAACAATTTTAGTCACATTAAACATTTGTAGCAACATTCTTTCCTGCTATGTGCTGATAAGTGGCCCTTTCCTACAGTAAATTGTAACAGTCTTACAAGTCAGTACTCACAAACATAGAATACAGCCTGTTATGGGAAAAATGACTAGAGTAACATGGTGATCTTCTAGGGTTTAGGGTCCTATTCTGATCCCACTAAAGGAAATTGCAGCATGGGCACGTCTACACAAGATGCTAAAAGCTCAGTAAACTAATTCTACTATGCATTAGCACGTCACAGTGAAAGCTGTGCTAATGTGCAGTAAAGTTAGTCTACTGAGAATTAGCATCACCTAAGATGTACACTGGCACTACTGCACAGTAATGCCAATTAGGCACATTAAGTTAGTACCTGTTATTACAGGTACTAAACTCAATGTGCCATAGGCCCATTAGTGCACGTGTAGACATGACCCAGATGCATAAAATTCAATAGGAGCAGGATTAAGTCTCTGATTTTGCAGGCTTTACTTAAAAAAAGTTGCAGCTGAAGTTAAGTGGAGTTTGGGCAGGACAGTGACGTGGGGGGGAGGAGGCTACATGCATACATACAAGTGAGCTTTTTAAAGAGTTGTCCATTTTCCTTAAAAAGCTGGTGGTTGGATGTTATCTAAGGAGACAGTTCCCTTTAAAAGAGCATAAATTCTTAATTTCCTTATACCAAATGCTGTCCTGGAAGTTAATCAACATTTTGAATGCCTGGTCAAGCTGAGGAAAAGTTTGGGTGCAGCTGGGCAGGCAAAGATCCAACTTTTGTTCTGGTAGTTCCAATGCAAATTTAAGTTAGCTGAAGTCGAGCTGTATTGTAACTGCTGCCATAGTGCTGGGCTGCTATAATTAGAGCAGTGCAGTAAGCACACTTAAATAACCCTGCACATTTTCAGTGGCTTGGCCTGCTCCTGTGATCCTCTCTCAGGCAAAGCTGGGATCAGGTCCCTCTTGCTGAAGATTACAAGTGCGAACTGCCTCTCCCCACATACATATCTTTCCCATAACAGGTTTATTTTACTAAACAATTAGCAAAAGTATTTTCCATCAACACAGACTAAATTTTTATATTTGTTGTATCTCCTAAAGAGACTTAAAGAGTTCTTTCAATATTAGGGCTCGTGCTCTGCAGCCCCTATTTATGCCATTTGTCTCACTGACATCAATTGACCTACTGCGTGAACAAGGATCATGTGATGGGGGTTTGTACTGCTAACGGTCTGGGGATAGAGATTGCATATATATTGCATTTGCTGATATGCTGATGAACAAATAGCATATGAACAGTAGCTATGATTTAAGTGTCAAGTTTTAAGCATCCTCTCATGAACTCTCTATGTTTTAAGCCATAATAGATCTTTCTACAAGCAAATAGCTAAATTCTGGTCCTTTTTACACCCATCCCACACCAATGAAGCTAGCGTGTAGTCAGCATGGGTGCCTGGATGTAAACAGGGACAACATTTAGCCCTGAACATTTTTAGATGTATTAACATTTTAGCAGTTGTGATAATTGTCAAGTCATTCTATTGCTACAGTCACACAAAGTGCATCTCTGGGTTTTAATGACATGTTTTAGATGACAGCATCAACATTCAAGAGGCCAAATTCTATACTCTCTTGCACCACTGTAAAGTGAAATCAGTGTAGTCTCTAGCAGTGTTCTGGTGTAACTAAGGCCTCAGTTTAAAGAAGGGCTTTGAATATATGCTCTGTTATTTCTAGGCTTGAGTGCAGAATTTGGCCTATTGTTACATAGGGTCCCAAATCCTGTAGTCCCTGCTCAAGCAAAAGTCTTATTGAGTAGGTCCTGCAGGATTGCATCCATATTATATATAAAAACCAAAAGAGCAGAGATACTTAGAGCTTGCTTGAGGTCAGCTTTAGTCTGCCACTTGCAGAAATATATCTGTGGTTCATCCTGCATAGAGTTCAAATACTTTTGTGGCATGTGGTATTTTCAGGTATCATATGGACTGGGAAACTGCAAAAGATCCATTAGTTATATAGGGATGGGGGGCAAAATGCAATTATAACGGTGTCCCCAGGAGCAACCTGATCTAACAGCCTCCAGACCAAATCAATAGTGACTTGAAAAAACGGTAGATAAAACAAAGCTAGGCTACAACTCACAGGTTGTGTCTTTAACACCGGCTTCTTAAGTTCTGCTGTAACAAGTGTAAAATGGAAAATGTCTTGGTTACGGACAATTTAATTTTGAATGTGATACTGTTTCTTACTTTCACTTTTAGTAACTAATCCTGCAGAGGAAAAGCTCCCATTGATTTGAGGAGCAGCATTGACCCTTGGAGGGCTGCAGGATTAGATCTGTGATTGAATCACTTTGAACAGTCTCACTGGTGGGACAAATCCTGAGAGCTTTACTCATTTTTTTACTCATGTAATTACTATTTAAAGCAATGGTTGTCTTCTGAGTAAAGAATAAGTAACAACTTCAGGATCTGACCTGCTATGTACAACATAAACATATGTTTATCTTGATCCAAAGTTAAAGAAAAGATTTAGATGAGATCCCATATAGTGCTATTGGTCCCAGTTCTCACACTTTTTAATGAGGCAAAACTCCCATTGAAGGTATAGAATTCTCCCTGATGGAGGAGTACAAATGTAAGTTATTGAGATTAAAATATTGATGTTTTTAATCAGAACGTGGGCAGAAGGCACACATTTAAATGTTCAAAAACATGTTTCTGAAGTGCCTGTTTTAAATAAAAATTAAAATCAGACTCAGTTCACACCTCAAGGCAGGTTAGGAAAACAATTTAAACACCAGGAAGTAACAAATTGTGTGTGGTAGGACAGTGTTTGTAGGTGGAAACATTCATTAGTTTTTCAGGTCAATTTGTCTGTCATACTTTGTTTAAAAAATAAAATGGTAGCAGATGTTACTTTAAACAGGCCTGATCTTTACACAGGTCCCAATCTTGGAAAGTCTTACACATGTCCCTAACTGAAAGCAAGTGCGTAAGTCATAGCAGGGTTGGAATGTCATTAAAAAACAGCTGAATCGTGCCTTCTAATATAAAGTCAAAACAAGTAATCATATTCACTGGATGGATGGATGGATGGATGGATGGATGGATGGTGTGAAAAATTGTTACGGACTGTGTTAAAAGTTTAATAGAGAAAAACATGTGCTAAAATATGTAAAAGAAAAGAAGCAGAAAAAATGTACCTTGAACAGTTACCAGGTATATGGCATGCTATTTTTTTGCAATAATTCAAAGTGATCTATTGGCCATCATTTTCAAGAATCACTAATTTAATTATATATATTTTGGAGTATTTTTGATAAATTTCAATGAAAGATAAGAAAAATATAAAGAAAATGTTATTAATAAACACATATGTGGCCAACCGTATTTTTATATCCGTTTCTGTGTTTGGGCCTATTTATCTTTGCTGGTAACCAGTATCAAAAAATTAAGTACAGGTGATTTTATTGCTGCACAATTTTTTCCTTTATGTTTGGATTCAGTGAAGACAGTGATAGAATCTCCTGGTAACTTGTCTTTTGTTAATGATTGAACATATACTGTGTAAAAATCTAGCTCTTGATTTTTCATGAAGAAGAAAAGAGATGGTCTTTACATCATTGCTCTCTCTCAGCACTGACTTCTGGTTTCTTGCAAACAAGTAGCATGCACTGAAAAGACACAATGGGCCAGAGTCTTCTCTGGTGCATTTCTGAAGCCAGTTAATAGGTATAGGAAACCCCTTATGCCATTATACAAGGGGTTATTTTGCCACAATATATTTAACATCCATAAAGGCACTTATCACTAATTAAGTGCACTGTTATACAGTAATTCTTCTGGTATGAACACCAAAGCGTAGGACCAGTAAAATAATTTGAACCATCTTAAAAAACAAACAAAAAACCATCAACCCAACCTGTAGGTCCTTTTCTAGTCAAACTGGAAGCCAGAGTCTCATCTGGTGTGAATTATCGTTGCTCCATGGTTTCAGTTTGCATAAGGTGAGGCTCTAGGCCCTCGTTTTTTATTTATTAAATCCCTGAACACTGAACAAGCTGTTTTTTCCTAAAATGAATTTTTTTCCTTTTTTTTCTGTTGTGAATTGTGTACTCTACTTGTAATTTTGGGTTTTCTGAAGTTTACATTCAATTTTTTATTTCGGACTGTACATTTGGACTGAATACACTATTTTGGAAGTTTACATTGGTGTAACATATTAAAAGAATGACCCAGCCAATGCTTTAATCCTAAAAAAAAGTCTTAATCAAACACAGGCAGGCAAGGTTCTTTGGGTAGATCCGATACGTTTTTTTACACCAACCCAAATACTTGGAAACATTCTTCTTTGCAAGCTTTTGGGTAGAATTTGTACCCAAAAGCTTGCAAAGAAGAATGTTTCCAACTATTTGAGTTGGTGTAATAAAAGATATCAGATTTACCCAAAGAACCTTGTCTGCCTATGTCCTTAGACCAACATGGCTAAAACCTACACCCTTTAATCAAATACAGGAACTCTTCGGGTATAAGACAGTACAATTAAAGAAAATTAATTTCAGATTGGGGATTCTATACTACACATTTTCTCCACCGGTTTAAAATACAGGGTCTTGATATATGGTACACAAGGAGCACACACTTATGGAAAAAAAATCATCCATTGTGAACTAAGTTATCACCAAATTCATTTAGGTTTCAACATTACATATTTACTTATGCGTGTTTGGATGTTTGATGACAATAATTAGCAGTGACATCTATTCTTTAAGTGCTAAATTGGCAGTATTGTTTGAAGTCACAGACAAACTACTTGTTGAGAAATACTGTGTTGTTACACTATGGAAGATTTTACAAAGTTCATTTCCTCCCTTTACCTTCCCATCCCCCTGGCTAAAAATAAGCATTTAATCCTGCAGTCTCAGATGAGTAGCTTTTACTAATGCAATTACCACAATCAATAGTAATGGGATTATGATCATATGAAAAAAGACACTCAAAGATAATTTGCAGGTTTGGCCACTACATTAGTTTTAAGTGCTAATCTAATTCTGGCAGTTTCAGCCCTTCAGGGGTTATGAAGCAAATATTAACATATTTTGAGAGAAGAAATACAAACCTATTCCCAGTTTCATCGTTTCTCACAATTAAAACTTGTGTTGCATAAGAAAGCTTATTCAAAACATTTTCTTGTTGCCAAAGGATGTAGTCTTGTACATCACAAAATTTCACAACAAAAGTAGAGCATTTTCTGGGCAGTCACAGACTTGAAACACCACTAAAAGCAGCAAACTGTTTGAAGTGCTGTCTTTGAAGAAGTGCCTTGTGTATCAAATTCTGTAAGAACAAAGTTGATGTAAATGTTAATTTACCTCAAATGTTTACAAAAGTGTTACTAAATAAACTTTTTGTACCATAACCTCGTCTCTCTCAGATTAAATTTGTGTGGCATGCAGTTTATCACTAAAAACATTAAAAGAGTAAATAATTATTAATTAAGCTGAAATAGATCCCTCTCATTATTCAGTGAATATATGATTTACATTTGTAAGGTGCAAAAAGTTGACTGAAAGAGTTTTGTCTGAAAATTAAGCACCCAATCATGTGCATCATCCCACATACATCAGTGGACAGTCTTAAAGTAGAGGACTGACAGGATCAGGGCCCATAGTACTAAGATCTGGCGGTAGAATTCTGGTCCTCGACATCAATGGGAATTGTGATATTCGTTTCAGTGGAGTCAGGTTTTCACTCCAGGTTTTGAACATGGCACACCTGGGTCATAATTCATCCCATGCTTTGTCTTTGCCCTTGGGCCTAGTAAACACTCAGGGCCCATCTCCACCAGTACTAATTTACCTTCTCTGCAAATTATTTTGAGATTCCCAACCAGAGTGCCATGGCATCCTGGGGTGCCATGCAATGTTAGCACTATTAGGCATGCAAACATTATTCACAAAATAAGATCAGAAATATCAAATAGGAACCCATAGTTAAAAACATTCTTCCTTTGCAGTCTTTCTGAGTTCCTTGAAGCAGAAGAATTGTACAATTATTTTTCTGTTGTCAAAAAACAAGTGAAAACTGGGAGATGGCATTTTCTGAGGGGTGCTCCGAGTGTACTGACCACTGCCTCAAGCTACTGCGGGGTTCCTTGAATCTAAAAGGTTTGAGAACCACTAGTCCACTCCCTAAAGGAGCATAAAAGGCTCTTCCCCAAATCAGTGTGGCACACTGATTACAAACACACAAAGGCGTTCTTAGTGCAACGCAAGTGTCTGCACAAGGGGGCTGTTGCAAAATGGCTACTGTGTTTGAAATTTACATTCTAGTAACTTCCCTGTATAGCGGAGCCCCCAGTTACAAGCTATCCCCCAGCAGGATAATCCAGGCACGCAACTAAAACAATGTTTTATGGGCATAGGTCACCTTGAGGCTTTTGTGGGGAGGCAGCATATAAATCAAATAAATACATTAATAAATATTGTCCAAGTGATACCTCAACAAGAGCAGAGCTGGGCAGAGGTTTTCAGAAGTGCAACTTTCAAAGAGAAGCAATATAGACAGGAGTAAGTGACTCTATTAGAAAGAGTTATTTTGAGTGGCTTTTAATTCTTTTTTCCTGCTCAGATATATATAGTAAGGCACACGTGATACAGGCAGCCTATGTGTGTGGCATGCAGCAGATTGGGGTGAGGGAAATAGGTAGCATGGTAGATGGCAGATAGGTCAGGAAGCAGACAGCAGAGCAGCAGACTGGGCAGGGAACAAAAAACAGATCAGGCAGGGGAAGGAGGTTGGAGTGACACTCAGGGAGGCCAATTTGTGGCACACCTGCCAAAAAGGTTGGCCCCTTCGCTGGAGTAGAGGGTCAAATTCCAGTAAACTTGTCCCATTGATTTGTATGATATAATTCATATCAGTGAGGTGAACTCAATTTGGTCTAAAGCACCATTTAACTTTAAAAGCAATTCTGAATACCAATAGGCCAGGCATTATCTCAAGCTCCCTAAGATAGTTCTGTACTGGAGTGCTAAATTAATATGCATTTCTGAGACAAAGGACTGATCATGCATCCATTATTGACAGAAGTAATACTAATATGTAATCCTAATGAAGACCATGGGACTTTAAGAATTTACAGAATCAGTCTCCTCCTTTGTTTTCTATTTAAAACACAAATGGAAACAAATTAATGGAAATTAATTGTGTATGTAAAATATAAATATTAAATAAATGTCAACTCATGTTAGAGAGCTCACCGAGCAAGCTGAACAGGACCAAGGGACCACAAATGGATGGTTATGCCTGAACCGAGTACAAAAAATTTGAGAGAGAGAGAGATTGACAGATAATCCTGTCATTTGGTATAAAGGTATCAACAACATTGCTTGTTTTAATCTTTTATTCTTTGACTCCTACAGAAAGAAAAAATGTCTTAAAAAGTAAAAGAAATCCACTATTCACCACCAACAGCCTAACTAACTATTGTAGTAGAAGAGATTATGACTTTTTTTTCCAGAAAGGAGATGTTATATACTCATTATATCATTGTTCTGCTTGTGGAGCTCTTATTGATCAGTGGAAATTTTGGGATGGAGCTTACTTTGAGAGCCAGGTGCTATTTCCATTGATTTTAATTGACAGATTCCCAAAGACCTCAGCCAGGCAGGATCAACCCATTTCCACACTGTTGTGGTAAAAATAAGTTATAGTTCGGTCGCCATGCCTTCGCAATCGCTTTTGTGTTCAGCATATTTTGCAATAGCTTCTGCATATAGATTAAGGCTTGCTTTGCACATAGATCTTGCAACCATACTTATTCAGTGCACTAGGGTTACACCAAGATAAGAGGTTATTAAGGGGCATTCGTTTCGCCGCAGTTCTGCTTTTGGACTGCGCATGCGACAGGACCTTTTGCCACAGTTCTGCTTTTTGACTATGCATGTGCTAAACTTGATAGGAAACAATAACCAATAACAAGTTGAGCTCGACCTGCAAGGCAAGACGTAACAATAAGGAAATTGTAAGGCTGCCAATAATCGCGCGACACGCTGAAACCCTCTGTTTGCTATCTATAAAAGTGGAACCACGGGCACGGCTCGGGGTCAACTCTGCTTTGAGCAACTCAGCTCCTTTGTCGATCTGTTTGCGCAAACAATAAACTCAAGTTGGACCTAGCCTGTGTGTGTGTGACTCTCTCCTTGAGGTAAATTGGACAAGCCTCCAGGGGCACGAAACTAGCAGTTTGTGCAACACTGTTAAATGGGCAGAGGAAAGCTTAGTGTTAAATACAGAACACGTCACTACATGTTTGGCTTAGAAATCAGTGGTAACAGTGTTTTTTTTAGTTTCCTCTTCAATAGATTTTCACACACAGATAGGGAAATCATTGCTGAGCTGCGCACTTTATCAGTGTTGTTTCTTCCTGAACTCTCATATCAGGAACACCTTTAGAATGCTGGATAACTACGGTTTATGATCCATTTTGTTTGTGGAAAATCACATTTTAACAGATATTTTAATGCTTATAAAATGTATGGTGTCTTTTTTCCACAAACCTAAAGGTTATGCTAATTAAACCTTAAATTCAAGTGCCTGCTGAAGGCAGGCAGAAGCAGAGAGGGGCCCAATCCTTTCTTTTTTCTTTTTGGTCAAGCCTGCCTACCTCTCCCATGGCTTGGGGGCAAACTGCTGGCAGGCCGAGCAGCCCCATAGCAGTGGTGGGTCCCAGTCCTTCCTTCTTTGGCAGCAGTGGCCCCTGGGGCCACCCAGGCAGGCTGCTAGCAGGCCAGGTGCTATCTCAGCTCAGAGGCAGCACCCTGCTTGATCCAACTCTTCCCTAACCTTAAGATGGCTGGGGCAGCAACCAGCACTCTGGCAGCCCACAGAGGGCCCTGCCACTGTGGAAGAAAGGACTGGGGCCCTCCACAGCTCAGGCCTGCTGGAACTGCTCCCCACCCCAGCAAAAAAAAAAAAAAAAAGAAAGGATCAGGCCCCTTGCCATTGATGGAAAAATTGCAACGGTGGATTTCATTTAAAAAAACACTGTTTCAATTTCAATTTAGGGGCATAGAATGCAACTTTGTGGATTTAAACCCCTGTTATGTGTACAAGCGCCCTCTGCTCCTGCATCCACTTTGAGCCCCTGCAGAGGTACATTTTCAATAATAAATAATTCCTTTAAATGATAAAACTAGACAGACCTCACAACTTCTTAGGAAACAAATTAGACTTTTTGTTAAAGCCTCAGTAAAGCAAAGCACATGTTTAATTACCGGTACTCTGAAGCTTAAT